CCACCTCTCCATAATACTACGTCCCTCAACACTACGCCCTCTTCCACACCCCTATCTCTACAAAAATCTTAAACACTCTATTTAGCCCAGGCAAATGGGACCGATTTTTCGTGATCCCTCTCACAGTTCCCTACTCTGACAACACTCTTTTTCCATCAATGTCTCCAAAAACAAGTAGGCAAAGTCTCTTTCCGTAGCCGATCCGATCGTTCCCGTCTCGTCACAGTAACATCTGAAAAACAAGATATAACATTATCAAATCTAATTGACTGGTAACCCCATTCCTGTACCGGAACTGTTTCTATCTCCCCAGCAAATTGCCCTATCGTACCAACTCCTGCCCCCTGGTGTTAGGGGGCGGCTGTGGGGAGACAGGCCTTGCCAGTCTGCCCCTCCGAGATAATCTACTGGCAACGAGACGTATAGGTGTTGGTGCTGGGGGGAGGGCTAAAGTCCCTCCCACCCAGCAAGAACAGCAGACTGTGGGTCCCTCTGGGTTGGCGACCGCTGGGACTAGGGTGGGGTGGGGGGGTTACCCATCATCCCATCTGGGTCCCAGCAACCGCCAGCCTAGTGTGATGCTTGTGGGGGAAAGCCCCCGGCAGCCCTGCAGGCGGATTATGGGACCTGCGGCCAGCCAACCTCCTCCATATGGGGTGGCAGACATGGCACCCACCCGGAGTGACTGATTAGTGTGGGTGGCTACACTTACTACTGGTCGGGCCACAGCGATGGCCACCATCTCTAGGGAGTAGCCATAGCCATCTCCAGCCGACTTCAACCCTCGGTAGTAGAGGTCACTCCAGTCGATGAGCGTATAATGGTATTGAGACTGAAGCCTTTATTTGGCTTCGTGTCTCTTATTGCTGTGTACGCTCCTACAGATGTATATAAACTTGAGGTGAAAGAGATGTTCTATGCCTAACTTGCATCTGTGGCAGACAGTTGTCCTCGGCGAGATATTCGTATTGTTCTGGGCGACTTCAATGCGGTATCCAGCTGTGATCGAGCTGGCTACGAGATGTCTGTCGGTCCCCATGGATCAGGAGCTGATGCTGGCAGTGAGAATAGCCTCCTTTTCTGTGACTTTGCTAGGTCCAAGAAATTGAGAATCTCTGGCTCCTGGTATCAGCGTTCTGACGCGCATCGCTGGACCTGGTACAGCAATATGGGTAGTGTGGCCAAGGAGATCGACCATATCCTCGTCAGCACTCGGTGGAGGATCCTTCAGAACTGCAGGGTGTATCGAAGCGCCGAGTTCTGTGGAACTGATCATAGATTAGTTGTGGCTACTCTCCGGGTCCACTTTAGAACCCCCCGTCGACCAAATGAACACCCAAGGGTGTTTCATCTGGACAGACTGAGGGAGGACTAGTGTGCCCGGGGGTTTGCAGAGGCTATCTCTGGTCGTCTCACAGCACTCGAGGGCCTGACAGACCCTGTTGTTATGTGGGATTCTTTCAAGCGTGAAATGCTTGATGCAGCTCAGGAATCCATTGGTGAACGCCCAAGAGCAAGACAGAATTCCATTTCGCAGGAGACATGGGAAGCCACAGAAGCTTGTTGTGGGGATCGATTGTCAGGGGATCGCAATTTGCACCGTTCTCTGGCGCGCAGGACTAGGTCACTGTTGAGAAGGGATAAGGAACAGTTTATCAGTAATCTTGCAGAGGAGGTTGAAAGTCATTTCCTAGTAAATGACCTTCGTCCTGCCTACCAAACCCTGAGAAAGATGAACTCCAAGCCCTCCTCACAGACGACGGCAGTCCGCTCAGCAAGTGGCTAGGTAATCTCAGATCCTGATGGGGTGCGTGTGCGTTGGGCATGCAGTCCTGTTTGCCATCTGGCAGACATACCATTCTCCCTGACCTGCTAAGGGGTGTGGTCATCCCTCTCTGGAAGTGGAAAGGGGATCGGTGGGACTGCAGTAATCACTAAGGCATTACACTACTCAGTATACTAGGCAATCATGGATCATGGGTTACAGTTGGCAGGACCATGTGTCCAACCAGCGGCTACACCGTGAGACCGGTACAGGACCTGTTACTTGCACAATCCGTGATCGCCAACTCAGGCTATATGGCCACTTGGCTCGATTCCTGCAGGATGATCCTGCCCATCGGGATGTCTCTGTCCATGACAACCCTGGGTGGAGGAGGCCTATGGGACGACCGAGAAGGTCGTGGCTTGGGCAGATCGATCAAACCTGTCATGAGGAACTAGAGATGGGCCGAGCATCTGCCTGGCGGCTCTCCATGAGGGATCCTCGTAGGTGGAAGCAAAGGGTGGATGCGGCTATGCGCCCCTGCCGGCGTTAGCTCCTAAATGATAATGATAACAAATACTGGTCACATTGTAGAGAAGACTTACTTGCCTGTCTCATGAAGGAGGATGCGATATCAGTGCAGTGCTACTCTATTCCTTCCAGAGGTCATCGTAAGAATCCCACTAACATTGCCAAAATTACTTTCCGTAGACATGACTATCCCTTTAACGTTTA